TTTTTTTTTTGTTTGTATTTTTAGTAGAAATGGGGTTTCACCATTTTGGCTAGGCTGGTCTCGAACTCCTGACCTCAGGTAACCCGCCTGCCTCGGCCTCCCAAAGTGCTGGGATTACAGGAGCGAGTCACCGTGCCTGGCCAACATTTATTATTTCTTTGTGATGGCAGCCTTCAGAATCCTCTTAGCTTTTTGAAAATATGCAAGCATATACAAGTAACCATATTTACCTAAACTGCAGTTGTGTTAGAGCCCATTTCTCCCAATTAGCTGTAATTTTATATCCAATTACCAACCTCTCCCCAAGCTCCCCTCCCCCTTACCCTTCCCAGCCTCCACCAGAGCTCATTTCTCCCATCTAGTTGTAATTCTGTATCCAATAACCAACCTCTCCCCAAGCTCCCCTCCCCCTTACCCTCCCAGCCTCTACACCCACGATTCTATTCTCTGCTCAGCGTTTTTCTTTTAGCTCCTATATAGGAGTGAGAACATGCGGTATTTATCTTTCCGGAGCTGATTTATTTTGCTTAACATCATGTCCTCCAGGCTGAGACTCAGGTCTTGACCGAGAGAAGTGATGAATCTGCAGGTATCATGGAAATGGCCAGGTTAGAACTTAATTTGTACTTAATTCATAAAACAATAGCTTTGTTTTCAAATTTCAAATAACTTGAATATAATCTATTTCCCCCTCCTAAAGTGTATCACATATTAAATGAAGAGTTTTTCTTTGTATATATATTTTTAAAAGACCTGCATTTAGTTCTATTAATAATGATGTACAATGGGACGAGATCACTCCTCGGGATTCAGTGTCTGAGCAAGAAAACAAAGCTTGGGAGACAGTGTGTAGGGAGCCCGGTGAACTTTACATGATTGGAATGAATTGGATTCCGGTCATAAAGTAACCATTTGGGGTTTGCTCTTGGCTGGATTCTGGGTCACTCCACATACACATATAAAGACAGAGTCCAGCCCTGGCGTATCCTGTATGTGAGAAAAACTTTCTGCCAAAACCAGGCTGGATACAACGTAAAGAGTGTGAGAATGACTTATGAAATGAGTCAGATTCACAAGATGATCCTTTCAGCTGCTCCAGGGAAGAAGGAACAGACAGACAGCAAGATAAATTTGCAGAAGAGTTATGATGTCAGTGAGCCAGCGGCACAGTGCAGGGTGAGGCAGCCAGAGCACAGAGAGGCAGCAAAAGCCACTCGGACAGGTGTGGGAGGGACACGGAGCCACGGCCCATAAAACCCAAAGGACAACTGTAACAATACTTTTTAGTATTTAAAATGCAATTTCTTATTAATCTACTTCATTGACGTTCATAGTTTGAGATGTTCCATATTTTTCTGCTGTAACTTTGTTCCATTATCTTGTACCAAGCAGAAAAGTTGCTAGCATTGAGCATAAAGTGAGTGTCTAAATGGTTTTGTGGCTAAAAGTTTATTTGCCCTGCTCAGGAGAAACTGTAGATTTGTCAGTGCCAAGATTAATCACAGGACAGATACTCACGAAGCCTTGGTCATCGATAATTGAATCTGCAAGAGCAAAAAATGGGCACAGTGGCTCTGCAGCAGAAATCTTAGCAAATGTAAAGATATGGGTCCCATCATTAATGTTATAAAAGGAAATCATTCTCATACCCATATCCAGGAAAACGCCTACCCTGCGTAGCCCGGGACTCACGCAGAGGGTAGTTAAAGGCACAGTGCTGGCTGCAAAGAGCTTTTCTTTCCTCACACCCACAGTCCAGAAGCCAAGTTCTTTTTTTTTCTTTTTGTTTTTACTTATTTTTTTATTATTATTATTATACTTTAAGTTCTAGGGTACATGTGCACAACATGTAGGCTTGTTACATATGTATACATGTGCCATGTTGGTGTGCTGCGCCCGTTAACTCGTCATTACATTAGGTATATCTCCTAACGCTATCTCTCCCCCCTGCCCCCACCCCACAACAGGCCCCGGTGTGTGATGTTCCCCTTCCTGTGTCCAAGTGTTCTCACTGTTCAATTCCCACCTATGAGTGAGAATATGAGGTGTTTGGTTTTCTGTCCTTGTGATAGTTTGCTCAGAATGATGGTTTCTAACTTCATCCATGTCCCTACAAAGGACATGAACTCATCCTTTTTTTATAGCTGCATAGTATTCCATGGTGTATACGGGCCACATTTTCTTAATCCAGTCTATCATTGATGAACATTTGGGTTGGTTCCAAGTCTTTGCTATTGTGAATAGTGCTGCAGTAAACATATGTGTGCATGTGTCTTTATAGCTGCATGATTTACAATCCTTTGGGTATATGCCGGGCACGGTAGCTCAGGGTTGTAATCCCAGCACTTTGGGAGGTCAAGGCAAGAGTACTGCTTGAGCCCAGGAGCTTGAGACCAGCCTGGGCAACAATGTGAATATATACAATGTGTGTGTATATACACACACACTATATACATATACATACATATATATACATTATACATACATATATATATAGAGAGAGAGTGCAGGGAAGCCCAAGTCTGTTTCTTCCTATCCAAATCCAAATGCACTTCAACAATTGGGTTTGTCTTTTGCTCATTTATTTATGGGAGCTCTTTTTTTCATGTTTTGTAATATCTTTTGGACTCCACATTTTCAATTTCATTTGTGCTGCCTTTTGATATACAAAATGTCAATGGTTTATTATTTTTAGGTTTCCTGTTTTAAGAATGTTCCTCACCTTAAACCGCCTGATAGAAAAATAGGAAAAGGTTATAAATAGGAAACTCACTGAAGTTAAAATAACTGATTAGTTAGCACTCCTGTGAGATAGCACTATATATATATATATATATGAAAAAGCAACAACTTTTGTTGCTACTGAGCCTACAGGGGAAACAGTCCTCCTGCTTGTTCCCTGTTGAT